CGGGTCGCATGCGCCACTACCTACCCCCCCCCCAATCATCGGTGAACGAAACTGTGGCAGCTACAACCAGCGTACGACGAGTACGCGGTTCTTACAGCTGACAATAATGATGATGATGATGACATCACTACTTAAATTCTTCTCGTACTTCTGGATTGACTGCTGGTCGAGATGTATGGTCCACATACCATCGATTACTGGCAGAATCTAGCAGCTAATTACAGGTCCTCAGGCTGAAAAATGTGATCGGGTGAGGTGACCAAATGTGATCAAATTAGGTGTCAAATGCAACTCGTTAATGGACGCCGTCATCTGAAGTAAAGTGTACACTAACTGGTTGGGTCGAGGAATGCACTTTCCTGATACACGAAAACCACTAACCTCGCGGTTTCTACTCATGCAAACTCTTGGTTTAGTCAAAAACCTTAAAGTTATGTGGATGCGAATTGCAAACTGTTTGTCAATCGTGTATACGTTTGCCTTATTTTCTTCAGTACACGCCTGTACTAGGTCAGCGCTTCTAGAATTATTTTGCCAAACCATAGAAAGACTGTGGAAATCTGATTACAAATAACGGTTGACGGTTAACCTGTGGAGTGTTTTGGGTTGACAATTGAACCACGAGTATATATGTATTCGTTCAGCGAATTGTGTTTCAGTCTGTCGAAACGGCTGGCGGCTGACTCTGTCAAGGTGAAAGCGAAGTTAGCCGTCTTTTCAACAATAGGCGTGGTCAGCATCAGACTATTCCCAGAATGGCCTTACTGCTTAAATAGTAGTAGAAATCTAATCCAGAAGTCCGACAAACAGAACCACTCCCTCATTTTGAGGTCTCTTCGTGGCGTTCCGGATGAGCTAACATCATACAAACACCAGATTTTACGTAACCGTTCGTTCTGCTTTACTTCTTTACTTACATATTTGGCGATGACTCCATTTGACTGTGTGGACAAACGCATGGACAAGATCGTGTCGACTGCCCATGGTCCTGTGAAAATGTAGTGTGGAACGCTTTCAACGCGAGTTATATCTTTTATGCTTTAGAAGGCAGCTGACACAGGGGGTGGTTTTTCGGCTAGAACGATACACCAGATGTTCTCTTTGATTTCGTTCTAAACTCATTCACTGAACAGTAATCGACAGCACCGATGTTTGGTCCTTCGACGGTAAATTTGGTATTCTGGAGTGCTTCTCGAAACAATTAACATAAAATGAGGCACTGATGCAAACTTTCAGCCTTTTATTACTTTTTGACTGATATGTGTGGGTACTCATATCTTACAGTGCTTAATGCTTTTTCTGAGTATATCATGGCGTTGATGGTGGTCACTATAAAGCAAATCTATAAACATGAGTACAGTATCTGCAGATTTTTCCATAACATTTGCGCTCCTGGCGGTTTAGTTAAAAATCACGAAGTTGTGCAAAAAATTCATCTCTCTATTTGGAGAATGTTTCTGGGAGTCGGTCAGATTTGCTAACATACGACTCCCGCCACGTTTATCTGGATCTTCAGGAATAAGCATAGTTCCATCAAGTCTGACGTGCTTTTATTCAACAAAGTAAACGGTATTAGGGATGCCAGTAGTTCGATTGCGTAGCTCAAACTAAGCAGACGTAAATTCGGCGTCATATGCCGGCAAACAAGCTGGATACCGTTGATTAAACTTCTCCCAACGAGAAAAAAGCGGGCCGGTAAAAGAAGCTTCCCCATTTTAGAGCCGTGTTTTGCACCCTTAAATTTTGCACGTAACGTCTTCATGTTCCCATATCCAGCCATCATCGTAACTACCCAAAACAGCTATATCAGAATCCTATGTGCTCAGCTGTTATGACGACCTGCACTGCATTTTTATTATCGAATCCAGCATCGAAACGTCACGTTTCGAGCGAATAATCTGCTCTTCAAATTTAACGGTATAACATAGAATACCCAGATAAGTTAGTTCTTCACCGCAATACAACAGTCAGTCACTGCCAACGTTGTATTTGAATGATTGTTTTCTACAGCCAATCTTAAGAGTACAAGAGAAGGCAGTTTTATGGATCTCGTCATTCATATGAGACTCCGCAGTTCTAGGTAACACAATTCAGAATAAAACATGTTACACTAGCCATTTGACTGAGCGGTACTCCATTGATTTTCCCCAGGTCGAACACTAAATGCTTGATTAGCATTTGAGGCATTCCACTGACTCACGTAGTCAATATATAACACGATCCTGCAGGGACAAATTATAAAGCCACTCTTTGACGTTGCCACCGTACCTCTTGTTTAAATCAGTACGTGAGTTTTGTTATTTTGTGGTCACCTTCCCATTAGTCGGTTCAAAGTTAAGGATCCGGTTTGGAAAAAGCAGTTTTTTAAACGGGTGTACAGAATCCGGCCTAATCCCACGATTTGGGATCTGTACAACTTTACTGTAAACATAGTGTAAACATAGTGTCGCAGTTGCCAATAAACCTCAGTTTGAAAGTTATGAATTTCAGGATTTCGAGCGTAACTCAACGTGGCCTAGCTGAATGCTGGAAACAATCAATGCAAAACAAGTGAAAAGGGATAGATTACTTTATTAGAGTAGTGTATTATTGAGTCCATGGACTGACTGAGAACCGCTTGCATTACTCCCCGGAAAAACCCATTTTGCTGCTTCAAAACCATGAGTTTGAATCGGCTCAGACAGCGTTGTTCACCGCTCTTTGAGTCGGGACTTTTAAAAACCAAAATGCTTGTTGCTGATCTGGTTATATCTGAAGCACAACGGGGCACTCAAAAATTGTTCTTTTCTGCTGAGCCAAACGTTACTTTAACCAGCATCGCCAACCACAAAAAATACACTTTGATGATATCCAGATTTGTGAATGGGTACAGTTTATTAGTAAACTGGAACAGTGCCAGGTTACGACTTCAGAATATGAAAACAGGTCATACATTGTAAGTCATATACCGGAATCGCCGAACGATCTGCCCAGGAAGATGCTCTTGCAAAGAGTTTGCACGAATCGACGTATTTAACGAAAATGCGTTTTCAAATGACATTTGGGAACACAGATAGATTAAATGAGTCTAGACGTGCATGCCATCCAACACTGGATTAGTTACAAAGTCCTACATGTAGAGTGCATTAAAATAACCCAAAAACCAGTGAATGAATGAATGAATGAATAAATGAATGAATGGATGGATGGATGAGTGAATGAATGAATGAATGAATGAATGGATGGATGGATGAGTGAATGAATGAATGAATGAATGAATGGATGGATGGATGAGTGAATGAATGAATGAATGAATGAATGGATGGATGGATGAGTGAATGAATGAATGAATGAATGAATGAATATGTTGGCCGAAGATCAACTCGGTTCCATTTTCACTCTAATCAGCCAAGTATGCTGAGCACATGAAAACACCCACTCTTTTCTTCGGAAGGACGACTGGACGGGGTTCTGCCAATGCATGACACGGAAAGTCAGGGTTTCATCTTCTAATATAAATGACGCATAGTTAAATCTAACAAGTTGCCTTCACTATGCCTTGAGTGTTAGAATATTCTACCCATCCTTGCATACTGTTCATCATCAGCCTAATAATACTTAAGCATATTGATAAACTTAGGGTAGTTAGAAGCCCGAAGTTAATCCTTTTACCAGTAGCAAATGTTTCTGTTGTTCGATTGTTCAAATGACTTACGGATTCGAGAAACCAGGATATGATTCGTCCATCAGCACCCAATGACCGGAATTCCATTGTGGTTTCATTCGGTTTTGGGTGCCATGCTACATGCCAACAAGAGTCGTAGTGCCTGGTCTCTAGTTCTGAAAACATATTCATACTGTGATAAGGAGTTTGAGTGACACTCCATGCAGGCGAATCAGATGGTCCTTTATCTCCGTTTAAGATGAATCCTCTTTGGTTATCAAGACTGGCCAGGCTGACTGGTTGCTGAAAGTGAGAGAAAGTGTGAAATATCTATTAACGTAACAGTCTGCAGAACCGGTAACAGAGGAATGAGCAGGAAACTATGGTGTCCTTCATACGGGCATCGTTCCACTAGCGAATGCTGAGGGTCAAGTGCCAGTTGACCTGTTAGCCTAGTTTGGCAGCAGGTTTGATAAAGCACACCTGTCCAATTGTACACTGATAACGTACACTTGCATCTTAGCCACCAATATTTCGACAAAACGTCATTTTTCAAGCTCAATCAACCTTAACTACCTTAACTGTCGCTTTCAGTACTGAGTCCGGCTGTGAAACTTGTCACATTCAAGACTGGACACTGCATTCTTTTCTTTGACCTTTGTTTCTACTGTCGAAGTCAGTGTATTTGACCGCCTTAGATATCAATCTCCTAAAATGATTCGCATTTTCTACCTCTGTGTATCAAACTGACCTCCAAGGGAAATGTTTTTCGACCATCAGTTAGTTAGCTTATCTTGTGGTTCTTCTCGCTTCCATCTCGGTCAACCGCGGTGACTCTTGGAAAGCTGTGGACGTCTTCTTTATCACCAACCTTACTTGGAGGGGTGGTACTCCACTGATGGAGCAATAAACAAGCGCATTGAGATTGATCCTGCCTACCAGCCTCTGAGGACAAAGGAAATCCAGAACCATAGAACCCGAGGCCGAACAAGGACGCAAAGAAAAAATCAATAGAACAGCAAGCTACAAAAATAAGAGACACGCAGCAAACCAACAGAGAAGCCGACCACGACGCAATACAGATCAAGAACGGGCCAACCAGAATCCAGGTTACAGCGTAAAGGCTATAGACTATATAAACGCAGGCACAAAGAGAGGAACTACCCAACCAACAGCGCACTGAAGATGTCTACTAGAATGGTGACGAAACGTTTGCAAATCAATTGCCAAGCTCGGCGAACAGATCAACAGCCACCTGATCAATTACCAACTTACTTACTTCGCCTAGTCTACTCAGGCCCCATTAAAATCCTCTCACCATAACCTGCCTAAGTCACTATCTCGAAGTGCTTCCCGACAAAACACTTTCACCAGCAGTGGAAGAACTAGTCCGATCTTATTCCCATATTTGTTGGAAATATCCCATCTTGTTAAATCAAGATCTCTACGGAGACTATTCTCAGAAGCATAGACAAATCACCCAGTCATCAAAAATATGTTAATCATATCATTTCTTGACGAAACCTACTTGTAAGTTTGCTGATAACCCCACCGCTAGATTTAGTCCCCAAATTTCCATCAAACATACGTTTTAACTGAACATACACACTGGTGTTGATGACAGTCTCTGCTGAGTCCCTCTTGTTGGTCGGAAGAATGAATCGGGCCAACTCAGGCGACAAATTCAATCTTCACTCGTCCACAATGATTCGACGTCTGCACTCAACTAAGGCAAAACTACAACCAAAGTAACAAAAGTCAATTTCTCCGGTCATCAAGCTAAAATCTCACCAGGCTGGCCTACCGAAAAATATTTGTTCTAGGGTTTAGATAAGTCTGCCACTATTAGTGGTTGCACTGCACGATTCCCTTCCACCGGTCTGCCGGTGATGTGTTCGTGTACCTTTCGCGACAAAAGGGTGTGACTTTTCAATGTCTGTGAGTTTTCAAGGACACCAACGTTTATTCACTCTTCTAAGCACCCAATTATTCCCCTTTAACATGTATTATATAATCTCCAGAAATCACGCGCTTGTTTGAACCACGTTTTACTTTTCCTAATTTCAGTCGTGAAACTCATTCAAACTCTGACAATTTTCGCCCCGTCACTACCAGACCCATATTTTTTCACGTTTTATTCTTTACTGGTAAAACAAATAAGGTGAGATCTTGAAAATCTACCGTTGCTGTTTAGGAGCAGCTGCTCTACAAGTGCCCTTCTGATATACGTCTGAAAACTCCGGTGTTTTTTTGTTGGACACTTTCGATGAGGCAAATATGGTAGATCTTCAGATTTCAGTATCTACAGGCCACGCTGATCTCCAAAACCCCAACTGTCTGGGAGACATTCCCAAATGGACAATAGGAATGCACGCTTTCGGGGTGAGGCCGCACTAAAGCTGCCCTCAAGACTCGTGATATTATTGCAGAGTCATTGTTTCCTTTTTCAGCTCCATTGTTATTAGTAATCAAATAATTTTTTGGCAGGGAACCGCTCAGCAGCTTTGTATTCACTGATGGTGGTCCTGCCCACTACGCCACGTCCTATCCTTTCTAGTACTCCATAATATACCCACGTATCTTAAACAATCGTGAACGGATTATCGCTGTACAGAGAGATTATCAATGACCGTTGATTGGCCCAGAAGTCTCTACTGGAATTTGTTTTTTCTGCGACGTCCAGACTAACCAAACCTCTCCAAATCCTATGCACATCTCAGCTTGTTTCTTCGAGCTTCCTAATTTTGTTGATTTATTCTCCGTTTCCCCAAGTTCCTCTCTCAGCGTCCAATCTTTGGACTTTCCCGCCAAACACTACTGACCACTCATGCCAAAAATTGCTCCCTTTTTAATCAGGACATCTTGGGTTACTTTGTCTCTCATGAATCTCGCACAGGATTTTATTCACAGGATCAGGTCCACATTACCTCATCATACTCTTTTCATTTCCCACATCTTGAATTTTATTAATAGAAAGGTATTTGCCTCGTATTGCCTCGTCTTTTATCTGCAACTCTTACCTGCTTGACATCGTCCATATGCATCCAGTAAACACCACTCTACTTTTTAAGTAAGTGTCTTTCGCCAATCTCTCACCATACTAGTTGATAAAAAGCATGGAATATCTTGTTGATTTATTCTCCATTCCCAAAGTTCCTCTCTCAGCGTCCAATCTTTAGACTATCCCGCCAAACACTACTGACCACTCATGCCAAAAATTGCTTCCTTTTTAATCAGGACATCTTGGGTTACTTTGTCTCTCATGAATCTCGCACAGGATTTTATTCACAGGATCAGGTCCACATTACCTCATCATACTCTTTTCATTTCCCACATCTTGAATTTTATTAATAGAAAGATTATTTGCCTCGTCTTTTATCTGCAACTCTTACCTGCTTGACATCGTCCATATGCATCCAGTAAACACCACTCTACTTTTTAAGTAAGTGTCTTTCGCCAATCTCTCACCATAATAGTTGACAAAAAGCATGGAACATACCTATTAGGCGCCTCCAGAATGAAAAGACCAGCCATGGACCGTCAAAGTGTTTTCACCAGCCTTATGAGTGGTGTACATTTTTCAGTTACCACTCTTCGTTCATTGTTAGTATTGTCCTCTCAAAATCGGGATGGCCACGTAAATCCTAGAAGTTCCAGGTAGTCCCACATACCCATTTTTCTAAGGGCTTTCAGGTAGCTGGCACGCGTCGCCGCCACATTACTCTTCTGCTTCTGTTCTCTTTCTCTAAACTATCAGAATTTCGGAGACCTCTGTGAAACCCAACAACGTAACTTCGATACGCGGTGCACCACGACCTTGCGAAAATGTGCTTGGTAAGAAGGTTTTGTAAATCCACTATTGTACATCATTATTCTCTTCGAGGTCCATGGCCTCAGAACTACGCATTTATCGCGTAATAAAACAGACCACTGGAGTGCTTCATGTACGGCTCTCAAAATGTGTCTCGCGTAGACGTCCGTGAAACGCCCATAAAGCATCCGTTTGGATGCACTTAGAGGTGCCTCTTTTCTTTCACCACTTGTATGCTCGAATTTCTGTCCATGAATCTCCTGGATGAACAATCCTGAATTCAGTTCTACTTGACCGCAAATACCTTACATATATATACTCTAGTACAATTGGTTCAGAGAAACACATTGTCAGATATGACAGTCTAATGTAGTTTCACATTAATGGACATTACTCACTTATACAAACAGTAGTTGCCATTTTGACGAGTTCACTCCAGCTGACTAACAATCAGAATCTGAAATCTTTGGTCACGAAGATTACAAAGATACTTGTAGGACGACCGAAATTTCCACAGATTTCCCGAGCAGAAATCAAATTGTCGGGAACAAGACCTAAATTCCATTTGGATACAATTTACTCAAGAAATGCTTGTGACAAAGTATTCTATTGAGAATGTGGTTGCAGTGGTGGACCTTTCCTGTGTTGCGTCCGAAGTACTACCCTCTGTGATGTTGTAGCTACAATTTTCATAATTAAGAGTATCCTTAGGAGCATCCGGCCAACAGGTTTCATTATTTGGACGTACTGCGCTTTAACAGTGGGGCAAATTTTGTGAACAACAGAAATGCCTTATTAGCATCGCGTTCACTCCATTCGTCCACAATGCTCAGCGTCAGCAAATGGCTGCTCAGCGTAGCCAACACTCCCAGAAATGCCTTATTAGCATCGCGTTCACTACATTCGTCCACAATGTTCAGCGTCAGCAAATGGTTGTTCAGCGTCATCAAATGGTTGCTCAGCGTAGCCAACACTCTCACTACTGGTATGCTTTATGCAATCAATAGCAAATCAAGTAATGTGGGGGACTGGTGATTCTCCTCATTGATGTGTCCATCTGAGTAGTGAGTACCAAAAGGATGTTCGGCAACAAGTGTCAGGAGAGCGTGTTTTAACAGAGTGAGACCATTCGAGAAACGAACGTTCCAAGTACTTCCCACATTGGAGGAGAACACTGTGATTTCGGAAAGCAATAAACCCTTAGATGAGAATGTTTTGCCACGCTCACTGTTTAGATGAACTAGTTCACGTCAGTTAGCGAATATACACTCATTTGCAAACTAACTTGGTTTTTCAACTCACCTGGAACCCAACTGTATCTCTCGTTTGTGAAGTTTTCATGCAACTGAATGTGGTGCACCAGGCCGCCTCATGTTTCAGCACATTCAGTTACCTGAAAACAGCACAAACGAGGGATTCAGCTGGGTTTCAGGTGAGTCTCTCGAAAAACCAAATTAGTTTGCGAATGAGTGTATATTGGCTAACTTCGAGCAATTTGGTTTCGAGTAGAACATAAGGTTGACGGAAACTCGGGGACTGCGCCTACCTGTTGAGCCCCAAGATGGGCAAGACCGGTCGTGGGCTGTCGATGGATTTCCAGCAACCTTATGAGTAGTACATCATGGCATGTGTCCATGGCATATGTTGAGACCCATCAATAGGTGACACATGGATTTTCAGCAACCTTATGAGTAGTACATCACAAAGATACACTTTACGTGAACTTTCAACTTGTGGATGACAACATGAGGACAGAAACCTATAGTTGGACTGTTCCAGTTTGGAACCAGAGCAGTAAACACCCTAGACAGCCTGAATGAGGGAAGCGGTCCATGGGATATGTTGAGACCCGTCAATAGGTTACATGGACGAGATGTCCCAGTGTTTAGAGCGCGAATTTACTGACTGAAAGGTCCGTGGTTTCGCCTTTCGAATTTCCCTGTCTAGGCTTGGACAGCCTGACAGTATCCAAGCCATCGTGCTTCCTTCTGCTGGCATGGCAGTTGGGCACCGAAAGGGTATTACAGCTAAATGAGAACCGATAACCTTTTAGCACGTATATTGGTTTACAAGATGCTTGACCTTTCCAAAGTCCATATGATAGAATCTAACTCAACCAAATTCGTATCAGTCGTAGACAAGATTAGGCTATTCAAAACACTGCTATAAACAGCTAAACGTGTTTGCAGTTTGCCACAGTTAAAAAGATTGATTATACTTCTGAGCATCCGTCCGTTGCCTAACTGTCAAGTGTTCCGCTGTTGGTTGGAAAGCTGAGGGTTCTAAACGCCTCGGATTTTCGCGAGGTGGGTACCACTGATGCCTTCCAATAAGAATAAAACAACTGAACAGTGCTTATCAAATTTTCAGCACTAGTTGTCTGCACTTACTGGATGAAATCCGAATTAAAAATTCACGAATTTCCTCACACTGGCAAAGGTTGTTAGTAAAAGCCTCAAACGTCTTGTAAAAGCTTGTGAATCTGCAGAGCCTCAAACAGTTCAAGCAGTTCACATAGTACCGAGGAACAATGCTTGGTTGTTCTTGTAATTGACAACCAATATCGAACGCCCAATGAACAAGGCTCAAGAACAATCGTAATGTGCTGTTAAAATGCGTCTTAGCCAAATATTCAGAGGCACTGTACTCCACAAGTGGGGAAGTGCTTGGTTGGGCTTATCTGCAGACCGTTTAGGCTATCAGTTCACAATAATTTGTGTGGGCATGTTCCTTAGAGGAGTAGACGTACGTCAGGCAGAACACATGGCGAAGCACACGCCACATTGAAGGACGAAATTAACTCATTTATTGCTTTTCACTGAACATCTGATTGCCACTATCCTGATCACATGACACCAACATTTTCTTGTACACATCTGTCACTCTCCCTCTGACGCTATGAACTTTCAGATATAAGCCCCATGTTTTACATCTTGAGGCCAAGAGCAATCAAAGAAATACTAGCGTCTTGCAAATGTTTTTACCACTGTAAACAAGCAGGACTTCACGTATTACTGACGAAAACATTTGTGACAAAAATGTTTACCGTTTCGACGAATTACACCACATCTTGGAGCTATCGAATCCGCCAAAATTATGATTTATTATACCGTGTATAATTAAACATCCTACTGCCCGAATTAGAGCAACAGAACACTTTGCCCACCTACTTTTCGAAAAAAAACTCCTAGAAAAAACTCTGCCTTGTATTTTCAGTTGCTAAGTCCTAGTCTTTTTTCTCTTACCATGAACAGTAGACTCTAAGTAAACTAAATTTTTCCGATGTAGAATGGCATCTATGAAACTGTTATGGACTGATCAATATCCCATTAAGTTCTAGATTCTCACTCACTGATACTCTTTCCAGTTAAAGCCTTTAAATGAATGTTGGGAGTAGATCTCGTTTACGACTTACGCTTTCGTTCTTCAAAGTGTAGACTGCTACCGATCCGTCCAGAAATCCAGCACATATAATATTTGGCTTCATGGGATGGACATGGAGAGCCAACACTGGAGAAGCAGTGACGATGGTGTACTCCGGATAGGTTGTGTTTTTCAAACTGAATAACAAAATTGCACCTCCCATTTTCTGGTCCTTTGCTATGGATGAAAAATCGTGGTATTCTCGAGTTAAAGTACCTGAATTTGATTGACCATGGATTTGATTGTACAGCCAAAAGACTGATGTACCATGACCTGCCATGTAAACCAAATACTGACTATATCTTACAGTGGACAGTGCGTAGTAAAACGGCACCAGCTTGATATGATTTCCTGTTTGAGAGGTTTGCGTTTGCATGAACTCCTCGTCCTCGTTACTCGAGAAACAATCAATACCTCGACGACAATACTGGAAATTACCGTAAATTCAGCCCGCTTCAACGAAATGACGAAACAACTAATCTTGAATATGCCTCTAAAACGTAAGACAGAGTATTGAAACCTCAGTGAGATTCTTGTGTCTTTCCAATTTAAGTTCAGAACCATAAACTTTTCAACTAACCTATGAAAGGGAAAAGTTCAAATTTAACATGGTAGGGATTTTCATAATTAATAACAGGTTGCAAACAGGTACAAATGTTTTGAACAACTTCAACCTTGGTACAAGTTTCTCCACAAGTGTCCATTTGTTCGTGCAGTCATTGGCACTCAGCCGGAAACCAACTCGATTCACAAAAATCCATGCAGCTGCGCATAGCTTGTTCGTGCTACTAGAAGCCTCTTAGCCCGCAAAATAATAAAACCCAGCCAAATCGTAAAGACAGTTTGCAAACATGACAACTACTCAACATTCAAGCCACAGGGTAGCGCGCTATCCAGGTACGAAAGCAAACATTTTGTAATACAGTGCAATCCCATTGGAAGAACATTGTAACAACACCATTCCGGTTGCTAGCTGCCATTCCACCCTGAGGAAGCATGTGCGCTGAGATACTGCCAAGTTTCCCTAGCTTAGATAGAAGTAATAACTAAAGGAAATGGTCAGAGTTAGGAGAAGTCTGTTATGACGGTAATGAACTGGGACCAGCGATAGTGTTCGTCTTCACAAAGACATCTATTCTCTGTAGCAGTGTACTCCAAATATGTATAAAAAAGTTCTTAATAATTTCAGCTCAACACAAAAATATGTGACTTTAAGGTACTTCTAACTTATTTTACCACATCCCCTCAGCTATGGACAGTAGCCAGGATGTTTACTAAGAAGACTTGACGTAAAGCAAAAAAGGGTTGACGAAAGCGATCGGCTTCAAAGCCAGAAAAATTTATTTTCTTTCAACCAATCAAAGATAGCCTAAAAGAGTACACTTAAAATCACAAACCACCCGATCCCTACTATAAATTACCCGCTACATTCGGCATCCTACTTCACGTGTTCAATAAAATTCACTGGCAAGGACCTTCAACATCGCCAAGTAAAAACTCAAACTGTGAAGATAGAAGCAAGTGGGCTGCAGTGCTTACCAGAAGAGATGAATTTAGCTGAATCCATAATGCTTTTTTCATCAAGTTCAGGTTGTTGCAGTGTGTGAAGTCTTTATATGAAGAGTATTGGCTCCTTAACGGTAAGGCTAGTTACTCTACAAATACAGGGGCTGGGTGTGAACTGCTTTTCTTATTTATCTTCGTTGAATTTTAGAATCCCGGTTGTCTGACTTCTGTTTGCTCGCTTCTTAGTGACACATCTGTAGCGGACAAGGTGTGGAATCTTCCGACATCGTCACTCAGAATCTAATAGTTCCCTGGCCACGTAAGTTGATTTTAAACAGTTTATTTTTCGTGAAAATGAGCGGTAATTTTCGGTGAAAAAAACACTTCTGGTTTTTACGCTGTATACTCCACATTGCTGACAATCGTTTCTTCTTGGTTCAAGAAAATTCACCGTATTTTCTTCCAAATGCATAACACCAGTGGTGAAGTATTTATGCATTAAAAGTACAAGGCTGAGTTCCTGTTCGGAAGGCATATCCGGAAAGCCAGTATGGAAAATCAAACTATATTCACTAACAACTGGTGTCTTATGTTGAGTTTTTTCTTAGCCTATCTGATGAACACGGTTAAGTTTTGTAATATCTTTGTACCAGTGACCGGTTTCATGCGACCAAAAGTGCCAAACTAAATCATTTTCTAGGTAATGCATTGACAAGTAAAAATGGATTTAAACATGTTAGCATTATGAAACCTTAACATGGTTAAATAACGACCAGAACACGCTCTCAGTTACTTTCCTTCGTTGGTCGATCACGGATCAGTATAGTTCAGTCACACCACTGACAAAGTTAATTAGATAGTTGAACCATTAGAATAGTTAACACAGAGGCCAGGTAAGACAACACTAATTGACACGCTGCGCGTAAGCATCGGTACCAGAGTGACCAAAAGATTTTCGGCAAAACGAATGTCCGTGTCCCAACATTCTCAGTCCGCTTTAACCCCAGGTCACGGGGCAAAATGCTGTCCGATACAGGTCCACTCCGACGTTCTATTTTAGAGTAGAACGAAACCTGCTGGTTTGGAATTTTGTCGTCCAAGAGTAGCTTTTCCCGATTTCGGTCTACGGAAATAATATTTTCACTCCTGCATGCATCCGAAATAGATTTGCTAGTCAACACAATCAATATAAAGAGATTCACTATCGGGCTTAGTTACCTAAATCTGTTGTACAATGAACCACCTCGTAGATAGATATTCTGGTCTTTTAGAACCGTTCATCCTACGAGCATTACAGAAAGCTCGGTAAAACATCCTCTCATGTGTTCAAACTCCAGGCTGGAAACATGAGAACACCTTGAATTATTTCGTCTGATATAGGTACAAAATTTTGACGTTACCGAGAATAACCTGTAGTAACATTATGTGAATACAAACGATACAAATAGATTTACCTCTCCAGTCTATATGCACCGATGGACCCCAAGCACAGTGGGTGATGCCATATTGGGTTTGCTTTGAGTCACGTGTGAGGCCAGCTGGAAGATCTGTATGCAGCGTGCGTTTCAAGGAGTAAGACCAAATTGTTGTGCTAAAACCACCAGCATGTTCAACTGGTGAACAACTAAGACCCATCTTGTATGCAAAGATTATCTTGTAGCCCGCACCACTCATAAAGCGTGCCTAGGTTTACGTTTATGGCTAGCTCATGATTGCCATCACTAAGGTAATAAGGCGGGCCAAATATACACGGAATGCAATACAATAACTGGGAATTTGGAACAGTGTGCAATGCAATACAACTAATAGAAAATAACTGTGAACTAACATTGAGAACAAACAGAAAACTGGTGATACAGACCCGGGGTTTGCAGCAGCAACCTTCTAAAATCTCCTCTTGGTTCAAGGTGTAGTGTTTCTCCGGATAGCAACGATGGTGTCAGGCAATTTCCGTGATTGAGGGGTGATTGACTAAGACAGAGCTCATCACACTGCTGTGCAAACAAATAAATAAAAAAAATACAAATCGTTCAGCTGTAGCACCCTTCCGGTGCCTAGCTGCCATGCCACCTGAAGGAAGCACGAGGGCTGGGATACTGCCAGGTTGCCCAAGCCTAGACAGGGGAAGTCGAGTGCCGAATGTCGGGTTCGAACCACGGACCTTCCGGTCGGTAAATTCGCGCTCTAACCACTTGGGCTATTTCGCCCCCTGTGCAAACACCTGTGGACAAATGGCTCAGTGATAGACTACTGGCCGGATGGTCGCATTTCCGAAACTCTGAGTTTCGTGAGATGCATACTACTGACGAAAAAGGTGTGAAGAGCTTCTCGGCTTTTCAGCATGGACTAACTTTGCGGACCGGGCAAAATCACCATTGGAAATTATCAGATCTCTTCATATCATTATCAACAACAATATTTTTTCAAAGGTATAAAGCGTCAGCAATGTCTTATATTATTCAAATGGCAAATATGGTTCACTGGTAGGAAGATACGAGGTGGCAGAAAATGAAAAAACACATATCTGGTTTGAACTTACATGATCCGTATCCTATATACAGTAAGTCCATATAGGCATTTGACCATTCTATGCAACTAACTGGTAGATGTCTTGCCCGTACTTCAGTATGCTTGATTCGCCATAGTGGATATAGGCTTCCGTGTTGCCGATATTCATCAGCTGGGTCGTTCCACACAACGTAGTCCATCAAAATGTCATCTATTTGATTTTGACAAACCATGCGTTCCAGGACACGCAAATTGTACACAAGGTTTTTCACATATTCCGGCTGAAATTAACAAGAAAACCTAGCGTCTAGTGGCGAGTACACACTAAGTCAACGTGTGTTGAGGAAAGTTGACAGTGAACCTCAGTTTGCGATCGTTCCAACTATCGAACAGAGCATCCGGTTTACAGTTGCTTTAATGCTAAACTGCTGACAAAATATGGGGTGCAGAACAACACTCCCACGAACGCAATACATAGAGACAAAGGATAGTGCGCTGCGCATTACATGGCGAATAAATTTGCGAGGTCTGAGCGTACGCACAGGTCTCTGATATCACTGGATTCGAACAAAAGTTCCATTCCAAGGCAATATATCTGGTTCTGTACAAGAGAAATAACTTGTCGAATGGCGTTTTTTAAAACGAAGCTAAATTTCTGGACACAATACGCCAATTTGTAAATAAGCATAGTACAGGTAAAGACGACTGACGAGTAGCGAAAAACAAGCGCGCTGTAAAATCAGACCAGTCTGTACGATGCGCGGAGTTTGTGAACAGCAAACAAGCAGACCAATTAGGGTTCGTTCAACAGTATTATCTGAGAACGTTGCTCGTAATTGTACCAAATAGCCTGAAAGTTGCGGAATCTGTATTTGACTAGAAACCAGTATGATGGAGGAAGTTTATCTTGCCGAGGAAATAATAAAACGGACGGAATCGATGCACTAAGTCATCCGGAGTTTATCAGAGGAAGGCTGACTGCCCGCGCCCGATCGCCAAATAAACCATGCAAGACACTGAAGACAGCGTATGCAGAATGGGTGCAAGAAATGGTTCTCAGTAAATGGACGCAGTCAACGCCTTAAGAAGAACTAACGTAGCGTACAGATTATCAAAACCGCAACGGTAATGACTGTAGGGGTCAATTGTTTCCAGACAAATTGGGAGTAGTTATTCGATTCCAGAAGTATCTTCAACGATACTTCTTCGAAGAATTCAGTTAGACTGCATTAATACAAAGTTCACTTTTCACAAAGAATGGTTGTAAACGGATACAACCGCAAATTGGACCAAAATTCGCGGACAAAAAACTGAGCATACCTTATTCTTCCCGGTTTTCAAAGCACAGTTTATCATTATCGCAGTTATTCTGGTCTGGTTCTTGGTAGAAAGCATTAGACTAGATGATTGCTTGTAGCATTTAGAGATAATGGAAAAGGCATATATGAACGGTTTGCAGGCAGAATTATTCGATGCATGTGAAGAGCTCTTGTCCCAGAGTCTCCATTTTAACCCATTTGCTAGACCTCTGGCGTGGACCTGATTCAGTTCACGCCACTAACTCATTACAGTGATGGTTTTATCTGCAAAGAAAAGCGAACGTATTCAGAGTTTTGGGTCAAATTCGGCTCAGATAGTATCAAGACGATTTAGCACCAAGTGGTGTATAATATGGAGTTTTTTAAGTCAAAACACTGTAGTGTAATTGGATGTTGTTATGCAACGTTTCATTTGCCGTGGGCAAACAATTCAGGGATTATGGATATCATCAAAACAGGTTGCCCATGGCAACGGGAACGTCAGTTTACAACACCTTACCCCCTTGGTGTGTTTTGACTTTAAAAGTTCTTCAAAAAAGCAGACGTATATTTACGGGGTTGTGTATCATCATCCACTTGGATTAGGAAATAAACAAACAGCCTCCGTCTATGTCAGCTTTCAACGTGCACAGCTCCCACCCCGGTACCTGCCTGGTTCAACTTGTTCACAGTACAGTGTGTCGTTATACGATCACTTGGTTAGAAGTTGTTCAACGGCGGCACACGAGAAAGAACTTCGTGGGTACGCGTCGACGTGGGTAGAGGTCAACAGTGAATGTTAGGATTAGCGTAATTCACAAATGAATGTCCCAAATGAGTTCACATTAGACATTATATATAGATTATTGGATTCACCTGTGCCCTGCTATTCATTTGGAAGGTGGATTCCTTGACTTTCGATTCGCTCGTTAATGGACGCTTTTCCTGAAGGAAAAATGGAACATCGAGTAGTGAAAGTCTCCAGTAAGTGTCTCAGACGAAAGACGAATAAAATCATGGCCCACAATCTCGTACAGAATCTTATGTTAGTTGCCTTGAGGTGCGCAGAAAATTTCCAGGAAAAGTTCCAGTGATGTGAATTTTATGGAAGAAGGGCGCCATAAAACGCCTAGTTGATAAACCAATTAGATATTTGGCGAAAAAGACTTTTTTCTCTGGAGATGCTCTAAAACATAAGGGGCCAGCTGGACATAAAAACGACTTACCACAGAGGTGAAGACTGTGGTGTTTTGATGTTTGGTTCTTGAATAGAGGGCGTATCTGGTTCAGTTGATTCAGCTCATCCTGTAGTGTCGTTTTACACGCTGTCTGAATGCTCGTTATTGGCAGTCGGCAGCAGCACAACCTACTAATATCCGGAGAGATTCACACTGGCAGTATCTCACGACTAGGTGGCCTGGAGTGCATGACCAGCACTCTTAAAAATTGTCGTCTAAAAAAATAAGTAATTCAAACACATCACGCCGTCCAAGGCTGAGACTATTCCAGAATAAGGAAAGTTCGACTTTTTCCTCTCTCAAGAGATTACCAATACCTTTAGGGTGGTGAGAAGCTTTTGTAACTTGGATTCCGATATTAAGTTGCATTCACAGTCGCCCTGAGTTGAAAAGTCTTGCAGTAATCTGCAACTTTTCGACTTGGAAATCTCAGTCGAGATTTTTGATCCTGCACATGAAGTCAACCTATATAGAAAAGGCGAGGTGCACCGTGCAGATGCTTCATTTTTATTAGGAACCGTCAGCAATGCGCATCTCTCGGGCCTCTAGGAGATTTGAATTTCAGAAACTTCTGTTGCTGGACACGTGACCAGGTGATTTGAACTGTTTGGGATTAAGAACGGGTGTTACTGTATCCCCTCTAGATGTAGACGAATGACACCGCTAATCGACTGCTCGTGGTCGAAATATCTGACCTCCAACTACAATAACTCCTCATATTCGTGAGACCTGCACGTTGATTCTTTCTGATGGACAAAAACAGCTGTTTACTGCTTTCCAGCCCTTTATTGTGGACTGACTAGTTGCGCGGTGGAAACCATAATCGTGTAATCCCTATCAGGAATGTTCATCTGTGCATATCCTACGAATTCCAATAGGGACTTGAACTCGTGCCCCGTGGGGAAAATTGCAAATGCCTCTTAGCAAATATGGACCATGGATGGGAGTTCTTCATTAATCTAATTAAAAACTACCTCTCATCAGCATTGTGTGATCCGATGATGATAAGGGCTTCGTCATATTAATATGTGAGCAAGTCATAGTGCTGAGCAGCCACTCGTGGGTGAATGGCAGGTTACTAAATTTCTATTCAAGAGGTCGCGGGTTTCTTTCTTTCAGTGTGACATGTGCTGGTGGGAAAAGAAGGATACAATGCTTCTTGGTCTGCAAATTCATGCTGACATTGCTCACTGGACCGAATCCATCTATTAATTAGGTTTATTAATCAAACTTTCATCGTTCCACACAAGCTGACTGACTGGCCAGTGGCTCTGTGGATGGGCAACATAAGAGACAACCTGGTTGCTTCGGCCCACCCTGTTCAAACAAACTCTCACTGGGTTGGAGCACGAGTAACGATAACTTGAATTTGCACCTATGTCTGTGTTCCGATATCATAAACAGTTAGTTAGAAGGAGTGATTTTGGAGAAATGACCGACAACCGCTAGGAATTCGGTGTTAGTTCTTAAAGAGTAAGAAAACAGTTTGATGCTTTATGAAGTTATCGGAAGAAATCGCTGCTTTATTAAGCAAACATTCTCTCACCATCAGGACTTCAACTGCGTACTTCATCTTGACGCACCCAGCTGCCTCAAGTTTTGGCGTTTATAAAATAAGAGAATATGTGTAAAAAAATCACATACGGTACGTAATTAGTTATCCTAAAGAGGTACATGTTTTCGAGATTGGATGTAATTTGTAAAACAACCTCAGTAGAAGAATATTCGCCTTCAAAAGACTAAAACGGCGAAATAACCAATCCATTGCAGAAGTCTTACGGTATCAAGGTTGCGATGGGCACTGAGCAGATGGGCAAATAAATAGGGTGTTGTATCAGCGTCGCGTTTGATGCACACATGTTCTCACTACTGAGTACCCTAAAATCATAGAAGAGCTCTAAGCTAGAGGATTTGGGTGAATTTCGGGGTCAAATTGGTCAAGTTGAAGTTGATGTGGTTGTTTAATTGGGCTGAGGTCTGCTGAGCGATCTACGTCCATTTTGAACTTCCCACAGAAACTCACCTTTTGTTGATCATACGCATCACATATTATTGCTTGATCTACCTGGCCAGAGAATGTGGAGCGTTGAATCGATTTGCAGTCAACAGCATCGTCCTGAAACAAACAAGAGACATCATCATCAGCTTATTCTAAGACTTTGAAAGACTCAGCCACACGTTGCCAATGTTATCTGACAGGTTTACCCTCTGGGGTATCACAGAAAACGGAAAAAGCGCTGTCATGGCAACGATCAAACAAGGTATTGTCGTGCTTTGTTTCATTCCTACCCATTAATTCCGTACAGAATAGTTTTAATTAGCTTCATTCAATGCGTAGCAAGGGCTTCAACCACTACTATTACCAGGATTTGCACAAAGGATCCACTTCATACTGCGAATCATTCCGAATTGCTCCCTGCAAGAAATGGACCTTTCCATGTAAAAGCTACCTTAACCGAGTGATTGTTGAATCCATACGGGATCCGAGGATTACAACCTTCTGGATAGGTGTCTGAACACTGGACCATTCAGTTACGGGAATCTAGTCACTAGAAGGGCGTGTCCACCTAGACGAAACGTTCCTTTGTTTGAACCAGAATAGTAAAACTTCCGCGGAAAATAGTGGCGAATTTCGAGGTAATCGGCGCCAAGTATCTTCGGACGAAATACTATCACTCGTTTTTCTTACTGAGGCCAGTCATTCTACATTTAATCGTACATGTCACGCACTCAGTTGATCTCATTTTGTCCATAAATTGCTTCGACCAGGGAACTAATTAGATGATATATTGTTGATGAGTGGTTGGTGATCGGTTCATCAAATTTGGCAGATAAGTAGCAAAAGTTTCTTCACCAAATCAGGGGGGTCGTCAATGCGTGTACTGACTGGCCAAACGGACAACGGTGTACACCATTGCCAAGTCAAAAAACCTCACTTTTTACTATCAACCTGTCAACCTGTTACCTACGTACTGTGAATAACTCTCATCACACATTTTAAATCAAGCCCACTCGTCTGCGTGAAAGGAATTCAGCATCGTGAGGAACATATGAATCTGGCTTGATATATGATTCGATGCTCAGCTGAACCTCAAAATAGGGATTATGGGTTAGGCTAGTCTGAATTGATAAATCACGAGGTTAACCTATCGCCGCAGTGCGACTGAAATAAGCCAGCCATTGACTTTCTGTTCCCTCTCTGATCTACAACCTGAGTTTAGTGCACGTATTTAATCAGGAAAATATGGTTAGAAGTGTGCGTTTCGGAGATACTCACGCGCGTTTCGATCACGTTGGTCTGCGTTCCCCTTTCACATTTGTAGAATACATCCGGTCGTGACCGTTGTTCGCTAGTCCTGCGTACATCTGAAACCATACTTCCTCCATCAAACGAATTGAGCTGAGTGATGAAAAAATAGTTATGGTTAGCCAATCATTCTACTATGTCGGTAGGTTCATTTGCTTGGGTCTTCTGGCTCTGGAAGAACTGTAAATCGGGAAATACCTGTTTGAATCCTGACATATCAGTTCATATAAGGCCACTTTTGCCAGGTTGACTCATAAGCATATAGCTATCTATACTAAGCAAACTGCAGCGAAAATTTCCGAATATTTTTAGATCTAAACTCCCAACAAAAACACAAGATTCTTGGTTCGGGAAGTTTGTATTTCAAATTCAACTTGCTGAGCGGAAGATTAGAACAAGGTTCACAATGTCAAATGTTCCGCGAAATCCTAGTCAGCCCATCTTGATTTAAAGACTACCGATGAGTGACACCGATGAGCTTGTTGTGAGGAATTCGAAAATTGCAAACAAGTAAATTCTAATTAGGAGATGGAAAATGGCCACGAGGTCAGGAATGGAGCGTAATTGATTCCCTTCACATAAATGCACCTTGAAGTAGACAAACGGAAAAGCCATTCGACTCAGCTAAAGCAACAACCACCGAACAACAGTTGACAAGGTTATTTCGTTCGGTTTTCTGCTTATAGATTTCGTAATTCGAACTCATTTATTTCTTCTTGAACTCTATTTAAAACTAAACAAAAAATGTCGAGTCAAAGGGTCGAACAGCTTGGAAGTCGGTACGTCACAGTGCACTGCCTAACTGGATGACCATAATCCATGTTCACGATAGACCTTGTAGATGCTTTCGTATAGACTTGTTTTTTATTCTTGTCTTAGCACGTCACACAATAGTCGTCTATTCTACTTCCATAATGCAACAAACAAACCAATCATGGGGTCTGTAAAAAGGAAACCAGAGAAAACGGAAGAGTAAGGTTGATGGATAATTCTATTGAACGTCGAAATAGTTGGAAAAGCAATGACTTATTTCAGCTGTCCTGAGAACATTAATTTGTGGGCTTGTTATTGCAAGGAAGTGCTTTCTCGATGCAGTCTTCCTGTCATCTGACATGGTACGGTGGGTACACAGTATTGAGACTGTTCATGGGGGTGTCAGCTAAGCCATGTGGTCTGGGCGAGTATTCTCCCAAATCCTACAGTCATACTTATTTTTGTTTAGAAGATGTTTTGGTTAAAAGTTTGTAGCTCGGATGGAAACATTAGATACACATGTTGCGTAAACCTTACATCGGAGAAGTGATCACCGCAGAAGCTAGCAGCACGTGATTACTTGGTATGGATCCTATGACTGAAAGGTAATAAGCGCTATATCCTGTATAAGTGATACTTATACCGGTGATCAGCTCCTCGTAAACGAAGCGCCAAATTGCCATAGTACCAGTCGGGAGTTCGCGGGTTCAAATCCCCCTGCAACTTCGTGAGATTTGCCCTTTTGATGATTCTCAAGACGGATGAAACAACTTTTTAGCATAGAATGGGTCCACTTACAGGACGAAATCTAGATTGAAAATTCCAAAATCTCCTCACACCATCAACAGAATAGTTAAGGTTTAAGTTGGGATTTTGCCCAGAAGCTAGACCCGAGAAGCACTGAGCACCTCCCTCCGTCATGTGGGTAGGCCTTTACGGTATGTATCACCCGACTGTCCAGGAAGTGAAAATTCGTGCTGTACCTTTTCGTAGGTTAATGTTGTATCGCCCGGATAGAAGTGAATGATTAATTATTTGGTGTACAATCGGCCTCATGTATTTTGCCACCTCTAAAATCTTTCTGAACCTCTTTTTTGGGTCGTTAATCTGCTGTATGGTCAAAATTTTCCACCGAGTGCTGTTCAGTTACGCTCTCCTGGTTCCCTCAGAATCAACCCCGTGGCTTACTCACTGGGGTATATCGAGCGCATTAATCGTTGAGTTGCATCACATCCGACTTTAATTTATCTGCTTGGTTTTGTCTATATCTGGTAAAAGGTGTATAATGACACAACACCACTACTGTGACTCCACTGAGTTTTTCTGCTAGTGATAAAACAGCGATCATGATACAGGTTCGGCATCGCAGGTGACCCTGATAGTACTTGCTTACATTTTCCGTAAATGCCCACAATCCATCCTCAAAACATGACCAGCATTTAGCAGACAAAATCTTTAGTTTCCCTACTTTAGGTGAAACCCTTCATAAAACATGTGCCGGTTTTACTCTGTTTTCTCCTAGGATATCCAAGTGATGTTCGCCATCTCTCATATCTGAGTGAGCGGGTCTTTCCGAAATGGTGATTCACGTTTCACCATAAATACTCTCCAGTCAACTGCAAAACTATTTTACAAAAAGGATACGCAAGCTTCGACTCGCCAAAGTGACTTAGTTTGAGAAAAAACTCGCTATTATTCTTCGCGCTAGGGACTATGATTGATACGACATTACAGCAGAGTTTAATAGGAGTTCATCACGTCAGTACGTAATAACATGTTCTATTTCAAATGGAGCTCATGCTTGTCCCAGGTTAATCCATCCTATAACTATGATAGTCGAGTAGCAATGAAATTTCCCTTTTTCTCTTTCCGTACACTCATACTTAGAAGGCCACGGATTCGAGTTCTTCCAGAAGTTCCTGAGATGTGCTGTGCTGATGATTCCAAACATGAAGCAATCTGCCGTAGAATTTTCCTCGGCTACTCAACATAGATTGAATTCTTTTGTTCAAGAACTGTTACTCCCTGTTCCCATAGGTATCAGTCAAGTTCGCATTCCCAACGTAGGAAATCACGGACCTCCAAAGAGTAGCTTAGTTTTTCAGTCAGACTTTGCAAATTAATCCTATAGTGGGTTTCTAACCGTAAAATAGGAATGGTTTTGGTTGCCTGAAACCCTGGAGTGAACGGGATAATCCCCATCTAGTATAGTAAAATCTTTTGAATACAACGGAGAATATCTGTAGATCACTAGATTATTCACGTAATTTCCCACAAAAGAGACTGTTCCAAGTCAGCTGTGCCTCCCGGAGAGAATATTTCACCAGGGATAAATAATGCGTGTCTATTTGATCATGGAAATTCTGTCTTCTTAAATATTTCAGAAACTAGGAGTTGTTTTAAGGTTGCCATAAAGAGTCTCTCATTTTAGCGAATATACACTCATCTGCAAGCTAATTTGTTTCTTTAGAGAGACTCACCTGGAACCCAGCTGAATATCTCGTTTATGATGTTCTCAGGCAACTGGGTTCCAGGTGAGTCTCTCGAAAGAACCAAATTAGTTTGCAGGTGAGTGTATATTCGCTAATTTCGTGCAATTTGGTTTCAAGTAGAACATGAGGTTGATGGAAACCAGGGGAGTGCGCCTACCTGATAAGCCCCAAGAAGGGCGAAACCGGTCGTGGGCTGTCGATGAATTTCCAGTAACCTTATGAGTAGTACATTACAAAGTCTCTCATTTTCATTTAAGGTCTACTACCGATGAATTCAAGTACACGCAAGTCAACTTGTTTCTGCTGATGCGTACTTGGTACAAATCCACCTTGAAAACCAAAAACCAACAAATTACCCGGTTGTCTCTGTCACATAAATTGAATACTGAAGGTTCCCGGCTGTAGGATCCACGCGTGGGCTTATCCGATCTTTCAGCAAAGACGTCTCGCGCGCTGTCTCTACTGAAATAACCGGTACCCGACCTCTCAGTTTCCGCAAATTGGTGCAAGCTGTTTGCGTCGGACAACATATGCAATGCAACAGACTTTCCAACCGATTGACGAACATAACTTCCTTTCTGCAATGGAAAAGCAATCTTTGACTATTAAGTTTATGTACCTTGAAATCATAAATCACCAGCCCTGAGGAGATGCAAGGATTCTGAGTTCGGAGCACACGGGTTATTGGTTCATCTAACTCCTGATAAAGTGCCAGTCAACAAACAGAATCACTATACTTCTCTGGTCAGCCGGATCTGTGATGTGGGGATTGTTTTCTGTGCTGTTTCAACGATGGAAGCTCTCGATGGTCTGCTGCCCCTGAACGACTCCATTTTCGACACTATATCCTGTAGCGGTCTCACACTAACATGCCCAAACTGGTCAGTCTGTTAGTCTTTTAGATGCTTCCGTTCACTACCACATGGGCTTCGTTACCACGGTCACCAGGGTCGTGGATTCTGCTATTGGACAGCTGGAAACAGTGGGCGTAAGTGAGAGGATCAAATCGATCGTAATGCACGTGTACATACGCCTTATTACCTAACAACACCTGATTCTCCAATCCAGTCACTAATCAGGTCTACACAAGATGCATGTTCTTTCCTATGCCCGGGAGAATGACCTTTGACAGCTAGTTGTTGTTGTCGTCTCGAAATTAGAAGACGGCTGAGTACAGTTCAGTATCGTTCACTTGTTTACTTCTTTATGAGTAACTAGTAACCAGCTAAGTAGTTTATTCTATGCTGAATTGCTTAAGCTATTCAGTAATCTTATGCTTACAGTAATGAAGGAAATACTGTGAATAGGAATGAGGCAGTGAAATCAAACCACTCGTGTCTATGCATGCTTAGAATTTTATGGTGAGGTGTTTAGACCAAATATGTCGAGGTAAAAGTGGTGGTAATTTCTGGTGGTAAATTCCGGAATGGAAATGAATCAGGTCTCCATGTCACCAAACTAGCGATAAACTACATGCAGGATGGTTCATTAAAGAAACATATTACTTCAGTAAAATCACTTCACACCTGATTCACGTCGATTCTATCTGAGAAGTAAGCACCCAAGTAGCCAGTCAACAGGTGATGAACACGTGATGTGGGTTCCGCGATTGAAGGATGGATGACACTACATCTCGTTTAGTCACGAGTTAGTCGTGGTGCTGATCAGCCGCTCGTGACCAAATTTATAAGTATTCAAACTACCAACCGGGGTCGCTGATTCCAAATTACCTGGTTCCAAATGGAACAGAAGGTTGGTAGACAGAAGTGAACAGCGTTTATTTGGTGAGCCTCAAGAAGGACAAAAGTGGTCGTGGATTGTCAGGGGTTCACATCAACNTTCACATCA